TTGATGTCATCTTTACTACATATAAGGTTTCAGCCCCATTTCACTTGATGTCATCTTTACTACCTCTCTTGCTAGAGGTTTTGTAAATGAATCAGCTAAATTTTTATTTGTCTTGACATAGACAATAGTTATGACACTATCTTGTATCAAGTGTCTCACATATTCTTGTCTTAGACTTATGTGTCTAGATTTACCATTATATGTACAATTATAAGCCCTTGACAAAGTGGCTTGACTATCACAATAGATAGAGATAGGAGGCATTGGACTCGGCCATAACTTAATATCTAGCAATAAGTTCCTAATCCATTCAGCCTCTTTACCAGTTGCTGCTAAAGCAATGAATTCAGATTCCATGGTGGAGTGTGAGATACATGTTTGTTTCTTGCTTGCCCAAGAAACTGCTCCTCCACCAAGTGTAAAAACCATTCCAGAAGTGGATTGGTTGTCTCCAACACTAGTCATCCAGCTTGCATCGGTATATCCCTCTAATACAGCCGGATAATCATTATAGAACAAACACAGATTTTTTGGTTTTCTTTAAATATCCAAAAATCCTGGAAATGCTTTTCCAATGTTCTACACTTGGATTACTAGTGTATCTACTTAATTTGCATACAGCAAATGCAATATCAGGTCTAGTACAATGCATGGCATACATTAAAGAACCAATTGCACTAGCATATTCAAGCTGTGCTACAGCTCTACCAGAATTGGCAGTCAATTTGACACTGGGATCAAAAGGAGTGTTAACTTCTTTAAAACCAAGATGATTAAATTTATTCACTATTTTTTCAATATAATGTGATTGACTTAAAGAAAAACCCCCACTATGTTTTCTAACTTTAATCCCTAAAATAGTATCCGCTTCTCCTAAATCTGTCATTTTAAACATAGAAGATAGATACTCTTTAGTCTCATTTATACCAATCATATTAGTGCCGAATATTAACATGTCATCCACATACAAGCAGACAAGCACACCATATTTATCAGTGAATTTAGAATAAATACACTTATCAGCACTATTATGTTTGAAACCATAAGATAGAATAACAGAATCAAACTTTTCATGCCATTGTTTTGGTGCTTGTTTAAGACCATAAAGAGATTTAATTAGTTTACATACTTTTCTTTCATTTCCTGGAAGAATGAAACCTTCCGGTTGTTCCATGTAAACTTCCTCATTTAAATCTCCATTTAAAAAAGCAGTCTTGACATCCATTTGATGCACAAATAACTTATGTATAGATGCCAAAGCAATAAGAATTCTAATAGATGTTATACGTGCGACAGGTGCATATGTATCAAAATAATCTATGCCTTCTTTTTGTCTAAACCCTTTGGCTACTAATCTAGCCTTAAAAGCTTGAACAGAACCATCAGAATGATATTTTCTTCTAAAAACCCATTTACATCCTATTGGCTTTGATCCTTGAGGTAAATCTACTAAAATCCAAGTACTATTTCCCATTATAGAATCCATTTCATCATTGACAGCTTCTTTCCAAAATGAAGCATCTCTAGATGACATTGCTTCTATAAAGGTTTTAGGATCATCATCTGGATTAAAACTTATAGGATGTTTATTTAAAACATTATTATTCCTATCACCTTCAACAAGAAAAATAATTTGTTCAGGAGAAATAAAATCTGAAGGTAAAGATTTCTCTTTTCTTACTCTAGTACTTCTTCTTGGCTCTGATATTTCTTTAGATATATTCGTTTCCTTAGCATGAAAATCAGAACTAGAAAAATTATTAGAGTTAAGCAGAATAGGAACATTTTCAACATTTTCAGAATCTACAGAAAATTTATTTTCAAAGAATTCAACATCTCTAGATTCAACAATAGTATTAGAAGATAAATCAAGTAGTCTATATGCTTTGCTATTTTCAGCATATCCGACAAAAACACTTTTAAAGGCTCTAGGTCCAAGTTTTGTTCTTTTAGGATCAGGAACTCTATAATAAGCCAAACACCCCCACACTTTAAAATATGACAGATTAGGTTTTCTACCTTTCCATAACTCATAAGGGCTTATATTTGACTTTTTAGAGGGAATCCTATTATGAATATAACATGCTGTGTACAAAGCTTCTCCCCATAAATTTAAAGGTAACTTAGCATTATTAAGCATACAATTTATCATTTCTTGTAAAGTTCTATTTTTTCTTTCGGCTAAACCATTCTGTTGGGGAGTATAAGGTGCTGTACATTGATGAATAATGCCATGTTCTTCACAAAAAGTATTAAAGTTATCAGAAAAATATTCACCACCTCTATCAGAACGTAATACTTTAATTTTCCTTTCAAGTTGATTTTCAACTTCTGTTTTGTATTTTTTAAACATATCAAAAGCTTCATCTTTTGTTCTTAAAAGATAAACATACATATATCTACTGCAATCATCAACAAAAGTGATAAAGTATCTTTTTCCTCCTCTAGTTAACATACCATTCAATTCACATATATCAGAATGTATTAAATCTAAAACTTTAGAATCTTTGCGAGAAACACTTGGAAAAGATTTCTTTGTTAATTTAGACTTAGCACAAATTTCACATTTATCAAATTCACCATTAAAGTTAATGAAGTCTAACTTTCTCATATTTTTCAAATAGCAAAAATTTAAATGTGCTAAGCGATCATGCCATAAATATGAAGACTCAACAATATAAACAGAAGATATAACTTTATTATTAATACTTAGTTGATACATTCCATCACAAGAGTAGCCCTTTCCCACAAACATCCCGTTCTTAGACAGGATAACATTATTTGACTCAAAAGCAACCCGAAACCCTTTCTTACAAAGAAGATCAACAGAAACTAAGTTCTTTCTAACTTCGGGTACATACAGAACATTTATAAGAGTCAATTTCTTTCCAGAAGTAAAATCTATATCAACAGTCCCTTTTCTAGCAACCTTTGCACAAGCATTATTCCCCATTTGCACTTCTGTAATTTCCGAAATTTCTTCAAATCCTTTGAACAAGGATTTGTCCTTGCAAACGTGGATTGTTGCTCCAGAATCAAGCCACCATCCAGACTTAACAGAAGCCATATTGATTTCAGAAATCATAGCGACCAGATTCTCTTCTATCATATTTGCAGAAGCCTTTGATTTTACATTATTATTTTTTCTGTGACGACATTCTTTAGAAAAATGTCCAGGCTTGCCGCAAATAAAACAGGACCCCTTTTTCTTCTGAAAATTCTTATTTTTAAAGTGTTGTCCACTTTTCTTTACTTGAAGGTTCATATTTTTTACCGAAGATTCATTCTTCTCCACGGTGTGGACCTTACAATCACTTTGGACAGAATTTTTCGAATCACGTATGCGTGACTCCTCTTCAATTCTAAGATTCTTCTGAAGTTGTTCCAAAGAGATATCCTCAGTTTTATGCATTAGTTTCTTCGAATAATCTTTCCAAGTTGATGGTAGTTTTGCAATAATTGCAGCAACTTGAAAAGACTCTGGAAGAACTATTTTGAGAACATGAATCTTATTAACCAGAACCTCCAATTCATGAACTTGCTCTAGGACAGACTTGTCATCAACCATTTTATATTCTAGATATTTTGCAATTAAATACTTGTTTGTACCTTCCTCCTCGGCTTTGTATTTAAATTCCAGTGCGTTCCAGATCTCCCTTGCCGACTTTATCCTCGTGAAAAGATCATATAATCGGTCCGAAAGTGTGTTCAGAATGTGACCGCGACACAACACTTCATCTTCCTCCCGTTTTGCCTTTTGCTTTTTGATTTCTTCTATTTCCTCCTCAGTAGGTTGTTTGCCGTCTGCACTTGGTTTTGGATCTTCTATGGGCTGCAGATTGGGGTTGAGAATGTAGGAGATCTTCAATGCTGTAAGAAGAAACATCATCTTGTCTTGCCAGCGAGAGAAATTGTTCCCGTCGAATCGGTCCAATTTGACCATGTCTTGATTCATCATCTTGATTGATTCCGACTCCATTGTAGCAGAGATATTTCTTTAAGATTGTTAGTAAAACAATGAAGGAGACAGAAATTATGAGGCGTGAAACACTTTCCTTAAAGAAATATTTGCCCCCACTTGATATTCAAAGTTGCTTCGGGTTAATGCAAATTTTCTTCCCAGGATACAACAGAAAATAAAAATTCCAGTAAGCAAATCTGGAATTTTCCTTAATTCGTTGTGAAACAAGTTTGTAATATTGCAGAAGTTTTTGATAGAAAAGATTCAGAAAAAGAATTGTAAAAAAAAATCTGAAAACATAAACTATTTATAGTTTTGAAAAGGTGCTTCCAATAGTCATAACTTTTCAAAACACCCCTTGGAACAAACAGCCACTTTTCAACAGTCACTTGTCTTTTCATAATTTTTAAAATTCAAAATAACATTAAAATAAAATATATTCAATATATAATTATATATATATAAAAAATAGAACATTTAAGCGGGTTATTCGCGCTACCCGCACGCGGGTTTAGAAGCCTACACTTTGATCCATTATTCAAAGCCCAATAAGCATTCAATGCTTTTAAACCTCTAAAAGAATGTTCAAAATTCCAATGTGGGACTATCTTGTTTTTTTACAAACAAATACTAACATAAATTAAGTGCAAACTTTATTTTATATAGGTTGCAACCAAAAAATAGGTGAAATGGGACAGCTATTACTTTGAGCTTAAACTACTCAGAAATTGAACCTTCGGACACCACACGGTAGTTGGTTTGCTTTCTCCTGATGACGACCTTAATTTTGTTCTCAATGCAGGAAATCTGTGGCCCTGAATCCACCGGATTTTGACTTTGCACACAACATATTTTTGACTTCCTTTTCTTTTTAAATTGAGTGGGAGAGACTGGGAGTCATGGAATTTGACCTTGACGTATTTTTTGACCACCAACGCGGATCCTCTTTTTGTTCCTATGGGCCTCAAGTCCCATAACTTGAACCCTCTCCCCCAAAAAATGCATCTATAAATAACACAGACAAGAACCTCACCTCTTCATCGATCACAACAAAATTTCCTCATATTGAGTCATTAATTACAAAAATGAGCGTAGAGATTCTCGACGGAGCAACAATCCGAGCCTTCGTCAACGACGAAGCAGCCTTCACTGAGTCCGTAAAGGACCGGTTTGCCTACCTCGACTCTAACCACGACGGGCTCCTCTCCTACTCCGAAATGGCTAAGGAGTTAAGAAGCCTGAGGGTCCTTGAGACTCATTTCGGCATTGACGATGCCGGCCTGAGCTCGGAGGAGCTCGTCGGGCTCTACCGAGGCCTTTTCGCGAGGTTTGATCATGACGGTAACGGGAGCGTGGATTTAGAGGAGTTCAAGGCGGAGATGAAGGAGGTGATGATTGCGGTGGCGAATGGGATTGGGTTCTTGCCGGTGCAGATGGTGGTCGAGGAGGGGAGCTTCTTGAAGGAAGCCGTGGAGAGGGAGTTGGCCGGAGCTGCATAAGCTTAATTATAGCAATTACATGGCTATATACGAGAGATGTTTTGATTGTATTTTCTATCTTTTTTTTCTGCGTTTTAGATGAAGTATGAGATTATAATTAAAGAATGGAGAGTGGTAATTTTGGACATTGAGTAGGGTTTTAGACTGAATATTAATGCAGCCTGAATCTGAATTTTGGAAATTGTCTGGAATTTGAATAACATTGTGTATTCCGTTTTCCTTCTCGTGTTGCTTAATTTACATGAATAGTTGAGTTTTATCCTCCATTCCGTTTTATGTATCCCACTGCACATGGATGCAATCATTCTAATTTAATAAAATTTCAATTTAGAGGAAATGTTTGGTTAGAAATAATGCGATCAGATATACATTTTCAATGTTTGGTTAATAATGTTACTGTTTAAAAGGGTTATTTCCATATATATCCTTAAAATCATGGGTATTTACAAAAACACTCCCCATATCTTAATATTTGCAAAGCTACCTTCAAATCATCAATTTTGGAAAAATATACCCCTAAAATCAATAACCCAACAACTTGGTGATGAAATTTTGACTATTTTTTTGATAACTTTTACATTGTAATTACAAATTAGCTTATTAAAGTTGATGATTAATTACTTTGAGTGTATTTTTTTTCAAAATTGATTATTTGAGGTGTACGTCTGCAAATATTGATATGTAGAGGGTAGTTTTTTTTTTTTTGCAAATAACCATGATTTTAGCGTATGCAAATAACCCTAAGTAAAAAATCAATGCAATTGATGTTCCCACTTGTAAAAGCAATTTCTCTTTTTATAGGGGAAGTTGCAATCACATTTTACTATCGGTAATAAAATATATTCTTACTTACCCTAAAACAATGTTGCACGTTCTCAAAAATAAACTTACCATATATTCTTACTTACCCTAAAGCAATTTCTCTTTTTATAGGGGGAGTTGCAATCACATTTTACTATCGGTAATAAAATATATTCTTACTTACCCTAAAGCAATTTCTCTTTTTATAGGGGAAGTTGCAATCACATTTTACTATTGGTAATAAAATATATTCTTACTTACCCTAAAACAATGTTGCACGTTCTCAAAAATAAACTTACCATATATAAAACTTGTGTCAAAATCATTTAAATGTTATTGTTATTTTGTTTATGCACAGTGAGATTATGTCCACCGTGAATTTTCAACTTGAAGCTAAATTAGGGGATTCGTAGAATTACTTATAGGTTACTCCCGTTTTAATCATTCACGAAGAATATTTATATTGTTATTATAATGGTGTTGATGTCCGAGATCACACAGTCGATGAGAGTTGTCCGCTGATGACAAAGGGTGAGAGGATGAGAGATGGGGCCGCTTCCTACTTCGACTTTATGCCTGGTTCTTAGAGCTCGTGACGGACGAATGACCTGCACACGTAAGAATCGTGAGAGGACAGAGCTTGTTTCCCCCGTGGTACCTCCAACGATCAAGTTAGATGGTGAACTTAGTTGGGGTCAAGGAAGAACAATGTCTTCTTCTCTTTATGTAGTACGTGCTTTGTAGGGGTTTTTCTTGATTGCAAAAAAAAATCGAACCCCTTTCAGGGCGAATAGCGTCTGTATTTATAGAGGATGCCAAGGGCAGATTAGTTATTTCATGAGTGTGCGGTAGACGGTGGTGCGGGGTGAGCTGGAGGCTAACTCACCCTTTACTCTATGCGTGTCGGTTAGCGAGTGAAGGGGGGTCACTTCGATTATATGGGGAACCAGCGGTCGACGAGGCTTGTCGATGAACGACGAGAGGTCACTTCAGCGATATAGGGAACCAGCGGCCGACGAGGCTGGTCGGTGAGCGGTAGGAGACAAAATGATGATCATCAAAGGTTAAAAAATATTAAGCAATATTCTGAATCGTCATTGGGAGGAGTGCCGGTTAATGCTGAGTAGTAATCCTTTGATATAAAGAGGGTCGACTGAGTCCGCCTCTTGAGTCGTCTTTGGGGAATGATGCCGACTCGACTGGGGGAGTGACGACTCGACTTTCCTTTAGGTTGACTCCGAGGAGTGTTGAATTTCTAGAATGCTGATTTTCACACAGTCTAACACTATCTTCCGAGTCGGCAGATCGCGTCGGCTCGGCTGAGGGGTCGAGATACCTTGTGTCATGCCCCGCTTCCCAAAATATCCGGAAATCAGAACATTAACAAGCCCACGACGTATTAGATTAATGAGAGTAAATAAAAATAAATATTTCTATGGCTGGATCCAAGGGAAAATAATAAGTAAATAAAGACCGAGTAGGCAGAGAACTGGTTTTCTGGATGATGATGTCACCGGACATCTGTAAGACTATCTGGGTTGCTCTTTTGTCAGACCACGGGCTTTTTGAGAGAAGGAGACGAAATGTCATTCGGCAACATTTTAAATTCCAAGGCTAAATCTTAGCCGCGGGATGAAATGGGTCCCAACGGCTCGGATACGCTGACAGTTGTAAATCAAACACTATATATCGTCGTTAGGGATTCTTATCCTATCACATTGTTCTTCTCTCCCAATTCTTCTTTAACTTGTCTTTTTTGCTGGTTGCTCCCCCCCCCCTTTTCTTTTCATGGATTTGGAAGCAGTTAACCATCGGGAATATCTGGAGGTTATTCACTCGAAGGTGACTTTGGCCCAGTTGAAGACAATGTCCACGAAGTTTGACATTCCTGAGGGATATAAGCTGGCCATCCTGACGGGATCAGAGGCTATTTACGACCATGAGCCTGGACGGTATCCTCTCTATCTGAACCACTTGAAATGCGGCTTGAGATTACCCTTGTCTCCCTTCTTGAAGCAATTATTTGGGGATTTGGGGATTTTGCCTACAAAAAATAAAATCGAATGTCATAGCCATTGCTGTAGCTTTCGCGGTCATATGTAGCTGGTTAGCTATCATGCCTACCCCGAAGCTCTTTGCTCATTTTGTGGTTGTAAAGGGAAGTCAGAGAGAGCCCCACTATTACTTTTGGATGTCGGGAGCCTTCAAGTTGATCGTAGATCTCCCGGATTCTCATAAAGAATGGAAGGAGAAGTTCGTATGGGTGGCTGGGGATGACTTAGAGATGTGTTGCTCTGATTGGCTCGAGATTCGAAGGGATGCACTAGCCAAGAGAGAGCTGTCTAAGGAAGAGAAATTCCATCTCGAATTGATCAAGAAGTTCACAGGCTCTCGTCGCTTCGAGGGTCTGCTTGATGGGTCAGTTCTACGAATGATCGCGGTGTCGGTCGTGCCGACGACCAATCATGACACGGATAGAGCCATTGCCCTTATTACTGGATCGGTGGGAGCAACTACAATGCCCACAGCCAAGTTAGCTGATCCCCAGGAGGGACCTTCTGCCAAGCTGGCGAAGCGCCTTTGCTCAGATGTTCCTCCCTTAGAGGCCTAGTTGGTCGCCGAAGAGAGGATGTCTTCCCTTACTCACAGAAGGAGAAGAAGGGAGGTCGAAGGGGTACTTCGACCGAGAGATGGGGGATGCAGATGGCTAGGGTCCCTCTGGACGATTCGCGAGAAGACTGTTAGACCCTAGAGTGGGGGGTGATTAGGGTCTTATGCTAATCTAATCCGATTTAAATGCCAATTAAAACTTATTATCAAATTATTCTTGCAAAATAGATATACAATATGTTATAAGTAAGAATAAACAATATGAATAAAGGGAAATATCCTAGCAATGAGATATACAATGATATATATACAAGGATATGAAAATAACTCAAGGGTAACCAATCTAAACTAGATAGTGAGCAATATAAATAAAGAGACAAAGACACAATAAGATGAACAAAAATAAGTGCGCCAATGCAAACTCAAACACACGATATGTTCACGGAGTTCAGTCCCCATGACCTACGTCTCCGTTCCTCACCTCGAGGAGATCTTCACTATTATAACCGGGTTTTCTACGCTCACCCGAATAACATTTACACCTCACAATATGATTTTCTAGCTAACCGAAAATAACCGGGTTTTCTACGCTCACCCGAATAACATTTACACCTCACAATATGATTTTCTAGCTAACCGAAAACTTCACAACTTACACAATTGATCTCCACGACATTTACACCTCACAATATGATTTTCTAGCTAACCGAAAACTTCACAACTTACACAATTGATCTCCACGAGATCACGCTCACAATGAGGCACGAATACAACAAATTTGTTCTCTACAATAGATGAGAACTCAATGTAGGCTCACACTCAATATCACAATCCCACACCCCAAATAATACTATGAATGTAAATACAATAAGTTCAATAGGTTGTATGTGAACAAAGAGATAAATCAAAACAAGTCTAAACTCAATTTAATCTAGCAAAATAAATATAACAATTTAAATATAAACAAGCTAGATAAAGAGTTTAAGAAAACTTCTCTAAAACAAGAGTGAAGGGATGTAGATTGAAGCCTAAACAGGATTGATGATCTCCTCAAATTCTTGTAAAATTCTCTTCACAAATAAACTCCTAAACACTCTTTTAAACAAACATAAAACAAGCTTAAACCCTTGTTAAACTCTTTTAAAATATTCTCTTAGATGCATATGGAACTGAGGTATAAGAGGGTATATATAGGATGAAGAAACAACCCCCAAAAACCTAAGAAAACCAAGTAAAAAGACAAAATAACGAATAGATAAAAATCTGGAAAAACTAGCCGTTATGAGATTGTATGTCAACTAAAAATATACATCAATTGACTTATGACCTCGACAGAAGAAAAACATACAGTTTCAGAGAGTTGGAATTTTGTGTATCTAGTTTTGTAAAATTGATTAAAAATAGTAAATCAAATCCAAAAATCATGAAATTTTAAGGGAAGGTTTTATACATGTAGAACATGTTAGAGAAAGAATTTCTGAAATATCACTTCCCAGTTGAGAGAAATAAATATTTAAACACAGATATTATAGTTTCTAAAAACTGCTGAAATATCTAACTTATAGTAAATTAACTCCAAAATTCATGAAATTTTGAGGAAAGTTTCTAAACATGTATATAAACATTTTAGAGAAAGAATTTTGTAAATATCTCTTCCCATTTGAGAGAAATAAATTATTTTGTAAACTGGTCAAAAACTAAAAATCTGGAA